CAGCATGGCATAGGACAATATGAAGAGGTGCACAATTCTGCCTCCACACATAGGTAGTCCTATGAAGGGTAAAGAAAAAGGTCAGTTCTTAGGACTCCTAATCTCCTCCTTATCAAAGAAGACATGCTCCATGAATCCACGTCTAATTTAAGCACCCCATTTAAAGCTGAGGGACAGGGGAGAGGGTTCTAATTGCACGGCTGAAGAGGAACTGCACTGCCCTAAGCCAAGCAAATCTTAGGACTCCTATGGCCTGATAGTGGGAATGATTATCGGTGGTACTTCGTTCCTGAAATAACGACACGATTAACACAGAAAGGCCTAGCTACCTGCACCACAAAGTACAGGACCTGCAGAAAGACTAAAGAATAGCTGGGATCACTGGAAGGCTCTCAGCTCAAAACCTTAAACCATGTCTCTAACCCGGGCTCCCCACAGTAACAATGTATTTAGTTTTCAATAAAGAAGTTGTATCAATCTTTGGGAATAAACGCCATTTTCTCCTTCTAACCCCACCTTTTAACAGGCCAACAGAATAAATTAGGTGCTTAAAAAAGAAAAGACCAGGCTGAAAATTAACTTTTATCTTGCTTCCGGTCTCCTTAACCACCCCCATCCCCAACGGTAGTATTGAAGTAGTAGAAACAGTAGTGTTGAGACTTACAGTCTATGGTAAAACTGGGTTCTTACAACAATTCTCTGGTTGGATATTTATGAGGAACAGAATCCATGCGATTAAATGAGGTTGTCATTAAACTATCTGCTTACTCATGAAGAAAGGAGTCTGAAGGCAACTTCTACATTTTTACATTCATTTATGCATTTTAACCATTATAATAATCTGGTGGCCAAATTTTCTTCTTGTTATAAGGTAACAAAGAAGAATAGAACAAAAGTTGTGATTCAACCTATTTGTAGAATTCATATCATAGTTTTTCAATCTGAAAACCTTACTAAGCCATAGATATCAAGATTTTACCACTGTTAAAAAATATGAGACTACTGAATAGCAATTTTGTGATAATATTTAAAAATATCCTTATGGAGTGTTACTGAAGGGTGAAATTAACATCAAAATAATTTTAACTCTGAATTCACCAAAAGTCATCTCTGAGCAACTATTTTGAACTGCATGCTGCCTGCACACCATCTAAGCTGGATCCCTTTCTAGGAGTAACAAACCCAGGAGGCAGTTCCCCACTGTATGCATCATTCCTTGAAAAGATTATATATTATGTCAAAATTAAGTTAAAACTCCTCAAATGAAAATGTCAAAGCAAGGGTTGCCTTAAGCTTTCTTGACTAAAGTTTAATTTTTATTTCTATTAAATCATGAAGTTCATTTGTGATATGAACTGTAGCTTAAACTACAGTAATAAGCAGAAAGCTAAGACCCAAAGATATGGAAAATGTTAATCTAAAGATAATTGTTAAAAATTATCTAATATTAATAATTTATCAATGATGCTGCTTCCACCCACCCCCCACCCCAGTCACTGTTCCAACAATTTCTACTTGAGAAATACACTAAGAATATCATGGCAAAAAAGTATTGAAAGCCTGTGAACTTCACTGGAATCTATGGAGTTTCATGTCTCTTTTCAAATCACTTGAATGAATAAATTAACCCAGTAATTTAATAAAACATTATTCTTAAGAAAGTCATGCCTTCAATTTTACATCTGCTTTGTCCTACATCTATTGCTAACCAAATTGGTGGTACTTATCTGTATATACACTAATTTGTAACAAAAACTCCAAATTCACTTATTTTTCAAAATCTTGTTCAGAAACACCAAAAGCATCACTGATTTTACAAGCTAGATATGATCCCAAACCTCCAAATTTTCTAGAACTTTCTCCATACTCTATTTCAGAACTTAACACTTTATATCTTACATTATCTAGAACCAGTCTTATCTGCTGAACACAAGGTCCTTTATCTGCTGAACACAAGGTCCTTAATGCCTGAGCTTCCAGTGGATAAAGAGGAGGTCCAGAGTTCTGACCCAAGAATCAGGAGCAGAGCTCTATGTGGGAGCTGATCCAGATGGGTCAAGAGGGAAGGAGGAAGAGGGAACCAGCCAGCAAACTGGTGAAAAATAAAGGAGAACCAACTGGTATCCAAAGAAGGAACAAGGGTTGAGAAAATGTCTAAAGGAGTGGCCCAAAACAAAAATAAGATTCAGAGTGCAAGGCTGGCAAAGATAAGCAAGATAACAGGACAGATAGCATGGCAGAGCCTGAAAAGATCCCAAGGCAACAGTGCGCAGTAACAGTGTGCAGTGACTAAGCCCATGGATGAATGTTTGTAAAGGTACTGCATCCTTTGGGACACTTAAGGGTAAGAGATATGTCTTACATAATTGAATTTAATGTCAGAGAGCTGAGTTCAGCTGCAAGCTTTGACATTTTCTGCTGTATGACTTGGCAATGCAATCACTCTGAAGTTCAGTTTCCTTTTCTATGAAAAAGAGATAACATCTATTTCACATGATCATTCTAAAGACAATAATTTATGTGAAAGTACTTTATAAACTTTAAAACTACAAATGTAAAGTATTATTAAAATATCATAGTATATTGCTATGTGAATTAATAATGCTTTTTTTTTACTGGGGAAAATTTCCCAGATACATAGTTAGGAACATTTACTCTGATTGGGTACTGGTCATTTTAGCTCAATACTAAAAAAACGTATTTGAATATGGAAGTGCTGAAAGCATTATTCCAAGACAATTTGATTTTTCAGTGTGAATTTGCCCGATAATATTTTCTGCTTTCACTGTTGTTAATAGAACAATCTTCCTCTCCACCTACCACCACTGTGTGTGCGGTGTGTGTGTGTGTATCCATTCATAATTATCTCTCAGTGTGTTAGTTGCTTACTAACAGTGTCCAACTCTTTGCAACCCCATGGATTGTAATCTGCTGGGCTTCTCTGTCCATGGGTTTCTCCAGCAAGAATACTGGAGTGGGTAGCCATTCCCTTCTCCAGGGGATTGTCCTGACCCACAAATTGAACCCAGGTCTCCCACACTGCAGGCAAGATTCTTTACCATCTGAGACACCAGGGAAGCCCAATTATATATCAGGCATTACACAAACCATTCCATATAAAATTTATCTAATATTTTTTTGACTAAACTAAACTTCAATTTCATCAGGAATTTGTGATGGAACATTATTCCAAAAGTGTAACTTTCCTTATCATTTGCTTAATTAGTGGAGCATTTTCTCTTTCACCAAAATATTATGAAAAAAAGACAAGACTTTTTTAAATGATATATTTAAGAGGTGATAGAAACTAATGAATGGGAAAAGAAAAATATCAACTTATGAGCAGACTCCAGAGAAAAGAGAATTTTTATTTACTAATATCATCAGAGAACTACTGGAAGATGAAAAAATGAGATATTTGATCTAATATTTCATAGGAATCTATGAAACACCATCAATATGTTCTTGTGTTAAATTAGGTTTGAGTTAGGCTTGAGTAAATAACAAATACATTAAGTTTATATACCTGCAATATAGTGAGATTTTATAGAACATATAACTTTCTGCACACATGATTCACAGAGCTGCTTTTACAAATAAATAGGATAAGTAATGCATAAGTAGCTGCACAATAATAATCATATGAAAACTAAAACCAAAACCATCATGTTGTACAACCTAAATACATAAATTTTTTTATTTGTCAATCATATGTTAATAAAGCTGAGAGGGAAGCTAACATAATTGATAAGGAAAAGAAGAAAACTAAAAACAATATTAACTTATATTTAGGATAAGCTTCATCATGACCGCTTCTATACTGTCACACTGAAATTTCATATTCACTAAGTCAGAAAATAAAAAGAACAAAAGCCTGGAATTAACTATCAACTTAATAATTCAAAGTAAAATTGACAGTGATAATTGAAGTGGATGCTGTTAGACTTTTACTACTAATTTTAGCATTCTGGATAAATTCACCATTTACAAGCCTCTGTATAAATTTAAGTACCTCAGGGGAAAAAAAGTAGATTTTGAACATAAAACTAAAATTCCTTTACTAAACACCTTCTAATAAAACAGATTCTGAACTATTAAATCAACCAATACCAAACAACAAATTAACAAGAAAGAATAAAAGTGAAATTATAGTTTCTACTAACTTAAACAGACTAGAAGCTAGTACTCTGATTTATCAACAGCTTCCCCTATAAAATATATTAAATCACTGGGTATAAGTAGAGTTTAAGTGCCTACCTCAAGGGGTTAATAAAGATTAACTACTTAGTAAACAATAATTTTTAAAATTTTAAACTTCTAAGTACAAAGTGATAACACAAAAATCTAATACAACTAGTAAAATTTCAAAATTAACTTGGTTTAAGTTTCATATAACTTAGTATCTTTTTACTAGAAATTTCAAGGTATTTCTGATCAGTCCTTTGCTTTGAAATAATTCCCAAATTACATATATATCTTTCTAAAATAATATACATATATTTTCTAAAAACAATTGATTTTAAATAATTACTAGTATTTTAACATATTCATAATAAGAGCAAACATCTACCATTTTAATATATTTGTATACATCAAAATACAGTACACATCTGTTTACTGATTAATAGCAGCTATAATCCACAGGCGACACAAATTGTCTTTATAAAAAATTTTTCTTAAGTCCACACAACATAAAAATTCTTTAAAAGAATTTAAGTTTGAGGACAATTTATAGTTGAGAATAATACACTTTTAATTTTGAACCAATGTAATTCTGATTAATTATATTTACTTACTGAGTAATCACAGTATAGAAAGAGCTAAATATTCATGATTCTTCTAAGTACAAGATTAATGAGTTAAAGCATAGAATCACTATTAAAAGTGATTATACAAAACATAAAAAGAATCTGAAAATACACTGAAAGACCACTTTGCCTACATGTGCTTTCATGACATAATTAGAATTTCTTTTTAAGTTAGCACTGCTTAATACTTACTTAAACAGGACCTTTTACCAGCTGTACTTGCACCACCTGAACATAAATTCCCTCCTCGATGAATTAATTCAAGTTCCAAGTTGGTTCTGTAAGCAAAGCATTAAAATGCATCTCGGTCATTAGGTTAAAGCAATACTTTTGTTTTACTGACATGTCTGAATTAACCTAAATAAAGTCCTGTAACTTTTTTATTTGCAAAATTATGGTTTATGCAATATCAGTAACAATCATATTTTATCTGATACTTAGAAATAAAAAAGGGGAACAGTTTATCTGCCCTTACTCATATGTTCATATTTATACCTACAAAACTGCACACGTCACAGTGTAATTGTTGCAAAATCCCAGCTGTTGGCAAATACTAAAAACTATGCCTTAAGGAAAAAAACTGCAACACATTTCAAAAACCTGCATATGAATCTGATGAAAGAATCTGTACTCGGTCAGCCACTGATTAGGTGGTTACTGGCATATAAAACACAAGGGCATACCAATTTTTTATATCAGAGGAATGGTTATCACTCATTGGAGCTTAGATGGTATACAGAAACCAATATTAAGAAACAAAATCACTAACATCAAAGTGGATATGAACAACACATATAATTAACAGCAGTTTCTTTTATAGACTTCTAAAATTATAGTTTTATTAAAATAAATAACTATTGACACTGCTAAACAATAGTATTGTTCATATAGATCTGGAATTACAATATATTTAGCAATTATTAGCTTAAAGAATAGCAATAATTAGTAGATTCACATTTCAAAAATCAAACTGATGCAGAATCTAAAGATTTACTCAAAAGCAGTAACAGTAAAATAGCCAATTAATTTTGATAATAAATGAAAATTCTGAGTGATTGTGTGTGTATATTTTTACTTCAACATTATTAACAAACTTAAACACACCTTTACTTGCCACAACTAAAACTGAATAAACGAAGTTTATATCCAAGATATGTATATGACACTAACAGTGAGATATCCTTTATCTTAAAAAAAAAAAAAAGGCAACATTTCAAGCTTACTCTTTACAAGTGAATTCAGGAAAGAATAGTACCCTGTTTTATTTAAAACAAAACATTTTGAGATGGTTTTGGCTGTATCTTGAACACAGAATGTTTTGAAACATTATTTTCATGTATTTACTTATAAATGCAAACTGTTAAAAATATTAATGTTTCTAAATCTGTATATTTGCCACCCATTTCTAAAGAAATGCTTTAATCCTTTCTACTCAGGGGGGAGAAAAAGCAATTTAACATTGATAATGTTCCTGCTCAGAGCTCCATCTGGTTGCTGCTGATAAGGGCATCTGTGTGACAAGGGAATTTTCCACCCTTCAGGCGATTTGCATTGCTCACTGAACTTCTAAAAACCTACCAGCAAGGAAGCAGGGACAAGGATTTCATATTAGTGGACAGAAAGCGAGCGGAGACCAGCATGTGTTCCTTCATCAAGGGAATATAAATGAGATCAATACATTTTGTTTTCACAAATCTTCAGTTGCCTAATCTGTAGAAAAAAATTAATGGCTATATTCTCTTATAAAAACTAAGATTTCCTAGTTAGTACTTTTAACAGAGCTAACCAGAAACACAATTAATTCTTACAAATGAAAGTCAGAACCAGAATGTCAACTTTTACTTCAGCATAATTTGCAAAAGTATTCATTAAAAAATAAGTACAAGTCTATTCTATCATCAAATAAGATATTTTATAGGATGATAAACATGTTACCAGAAATTTGATTTTTAAAGGATACTTGAAAGAAAACTGCCAAATGTAATCAGTTATTTCAGATTACGGTTGTAAGATCTCCTGTATAACATTTCTTCTGAGTTAAAAAAACAAAAACTACCTATCCAAAGGGTTAGTACAGTATCTGGAATTTTAAAAAATCACTATGTCAGAAGCCCTAGCAATCAGCTTTTCCTCATCGAACTGATAACAAAATTGGCCCCTTAAGTCTTGCTAGACAAAAAGACACACAAATGTGCCACATGCCCATGTCTGCCCTCCCCTCACTGTTGAAAATCAAAACAGTATTCTGTTTCTGATGTCCTGAATGGATGATATAAAAATAAAGATGTATTGGAAGCAGAAGTTTTCCAAGCCTTTCTGTTCCTGGAGAGAAGCAGACACAACTTTCTATATTTCCTAACACAAACACATTCAAATTAGTTTGGAAGGGAGGGGGAAAAAAAGAGAAAATCTCTGTATTTAAAAGAAAAATGAGAAAGCCTGCTTAGAGCCTATCATGGTGGTCACCTAGACATACCCGTATAAAAACTCCTCCAACTACTCCCATTTCTTTTTTCTTCTCCAAGCATGCTTTCTCTTTTACCCCGTTTTTGGCACTAACATATGTTTGGAGCTATAATTTGAAAAATAAATGTGTGTATAAACACATACACACAGAGAGACACTGAAATACATACTCATATAATGTGGGTTCAAGGCCTGGGCCTACCCCTACTAGCTGACCAAGTAATTCAATTTCTCAGAGAAGAAAACATCTTCATCCATACCATGGCATGGCCTGTATTATCGAATACTCAGCTCAAGCTCTAACTTCTGCAGGAGTTAGGGAGAACTAACTCCCTTTTCTTGGAACAGGAAGGAAGCATTTCTACATACTTTATATTTCAATCAGCTCATCTTCCCTTTTGAAGCTCTACAGTACCTTCTCTATATGATATATATTTTTAAACAATTGTCTCTCCAACTAAACTGTAAATTCCTGGAGAGCAGGAGCCATTTCAAATACAGCTCCTAAATCCCTGATGGTACCTAGGAAAGTGTTCAAAAAATTCCCAGGAACTGACCCTCACTTTGTTTTGATATGTAACCAGTGATAAGATTCTCTAGTCTCTGTAATTTATTCTCTATCTTGTTGATCCTTCCTTTTGTTTTAAAAGGATTCATGGGAGGAAACCCAAAAGAGAGGGGACACATGTAAACATATAGCTGATTCACTTTGCTATATAGCAGAAACTAACAACAATGCAAAGCAACTATACTCCAAGAAAAATAAAATTTTTTAAATGCTTCCAATTAAAAATAAATTAAAAGCATTCACAATTTGGTGTTTTAGTAATCATTCTTTTTATTTCAAATATAATTAGTTTATAAAGTTTAAACTTACAATGCAACTAATGTATAAAGCAAGGTGCATTCACTCTACTGAACAGTTTATCCACTCAAATTTTAAAGATATCTCTCCATCTACATTGCAGTTACTCATATATCACCTTCTTTCCATGTTTCTCACTATATACAGGCTAAGTACTACTCATTAATAACTCTAAGCTATGTATAACTTTGGGTCCAAAATCTCTAGAAAAATCAATTACTCAAATTAGTGTGATTCATTGTTTCAGTAATGAAATAATAAATTGACACTGAAATGGAGAAAGCTTTCTTCCCCAAAATTAACTTTCCATAATCCATCTGAATGACTGATAACTGCAACAAAATGCTCTTAGAAATACACTAAAATTTGAATACAGTAATTTTGACTAATTTCAATTCAACAAAAAGAGACCATTCCAACAATTTCTTCTCTCCTGCCCTCAGAAAATCTTCCAAGGCTTCACCATGCAAATAAAATTAAAAACAAAGAGAAACATACTGTCCTACCAAAAAAAAGCTTGAAAACAATTATTAAAAGGCTTTACATGCTAATTACCTGCTAGTAACTAGTTACATGCTAGTTACTAGAAATATTTTTTGTTTCTAAACATCAAAAACTTTAAGCTCCACAAAGAGCAAACAAAATCACTTATATAGATAGAAGAAATTGAGTTCTGGGAAACTAGGGTAGTATCTCATTCAAACTACAAATGTCAAAAACAAATACATTCACGCTATATACTATATGGGCTTCCCTTGTAGCTCAGTTGGTAAAGAATCTGCCTGCAGTGCAGGAGACCCGGGTTCGTTCCCTGGGTTAGAAGATCCCCTGGAGAAGGAAATGGCAACCCACTCCAGTATCCTTGCCTTGAAAATCTCAAGGACAGAGAAGCCTGGTGGGTTGCAGTCCATGCAGTCACAAAGAGTCGGGCATGACTGAGCGACTAACACTTAACACTATACACGTATACAATGATTATACATTTAAGAATCACAACATTTAATTCAAAAGTTAAATAACTGAAATTAATTTTATTTCTAAACATTTTTTTAAACTATTTTAAACCTGCTAAATATTTCAATGCTTACCTTTTAGGCATAAAAATGATCATAATCTATAATCATAAGTATTTAATGAGCCAAGATTATATACTAGGCAGACGATAACTGTAAAGATCTGGTTTACTACCTTGAAAAAGCTACATCTTATTCAAATAGAATACAACATGCTTTGTTCCTTCAGCTCATGTTTTTGTTAATTTTTCAGTCACTTTATTTTATCTGTTTCTTTCTAATGATTAAGTAAAACTTAGAGAAGGCATGCAATCTCAGTGTGAGAACACTACAATGTCCTGGGTAATTTTAACCAAAGGATAAAGTTTTTATACTTTCACTTTTGGAATCACTATATTGTTGCTTTAGAGTTTATCACTAAGGATCAGAGAAGGAAGAGGAGATAGGAGAGTATATTTTCTACATTTCTCTGCATGTAGCCTTAGGAAACAGCATTTGATATCTGTCCCTGCTTCTATATAAAAAAGAAAAACAAAAATATGTTGATTCCAAAAGTCTCCCATTATCACAGTAAGCTTTCTAAATATTTCTATTAAAAATTATATAAATATATTCTATAAATACTTTATACATTTAAAACCAAGAAACAGGAATTCCAAAATTTCTACCAAATTAATTTAAGTCAAATTATTTGATTTATCATAATACGGCAAAATTCCACACACAGATCATTCCCACTGAACCACGATTTTCTTTTAAGATCAGTCCTAATAAAATCAAAGGCATGAATACACAAGTAACATAAATATTTCTGTATGTTTATATGTATACACATATAGATATATAGAGAGCATAAAGTCTACATCCATCCCAATCTTCTACAACATTATTACCACATCATCATACAGAAGAGTTTTATAAAACCTTGAAACACAGCAAAATTAAATTACATTCAATTTAGTTTTCCCATAAAGTATACTTTATTGCAAGTATGCAACTGGTAACCCTTCAGAGACAAAATGTTAGATTAACTGTTATATCTCTCCTGAAAGCATTCTGGATAAATATCAACAACAGCTTAAGAATGGCAGACTAGAAAGTTACTTCCCAAACCGTTAGATCCCTTTATATCAATCCCTGTCCAATATTTGCATTCTTAGACCAAAAACTAATGTTTCCTTATCTTGAGGACTAACTCGCTTGCTGCAATTTTCTTAAATCTGGTTCCATTTTTCCTAGGTTCAAAAGAGTACAGAAACCATTCACTCTTTCCTTACCCTCTACTCAGGAATGGAGCAGAGAGAATGGCCATGATGAACTGCATGTATATATGACTTACAGAAGCTGAACAAAGGAAAGCAAAAAGAACAGTAACTGAAAGAACACTATCCCTGAGTTCTAGTCCTACTCTACCACTAATTTGTTGCATGACTTCAAGTCATATTACCTCTCTAAATCTTACCTATTACAATATTACTTCGGCAAAATACCAAGTATGCTTCTAGAGATATTCAAGGGTCGACAATATCAGATCCAGAAGAATGTGCTTACAAGTTCCTAACTGTACTTGCTTGTCTCCTATTATTTTTTAATGTAAAAAATAATTTTTTACATTATGAAAAATTTAAAATGTAAAATGAAAATATTTTCATTCAACTAAGTTTCTAAAATTCCTATTTAGAATTACTTTTTAGGTACTGAACACCTACTCGATCAATTAAGACTATTTCTCCCTAATCTGAAGGATCAGAAGTATTTTACCTCCATTTCCTTGAGTCTCTGGTAACTACTCATAGAGATTTAGAATATGTCTGATCAAGAGATCAGGAAACAAGAGTTTCCTCTCCTTTATCTGACTTTCTAAACAACCTATAGTCTTCCAGAACATTACTAGATATCTCATAAGCTTAAAACAAACAAAATAATTTCTTCTTACTGTTATTACTTCTTTTTTTAGAAATTAAAAGTACTTAACATATTATAATGCTTCAGTTATTAGTATTATTGCTTTTTGACAGGACTTGAACAGTGATTTCTTAACAATATACTTCATATATAATATTAACATGCTTTGAGGTGGATGTCTGTCCCCAAATGTGAATAATATACTTTTCCTCACATACCCTATGATGATTAATAACACTTAACCCAATATTTTATTAAAATAAAAACACCTAAGGAAATGAAAACTGCACTTTTATAGACTTCCTAGGAGGTTCTAAAACTAGCCATAATGTCAACCACACTAAAAATATGCAACCTTTCTTCATATAAATATGAATGACAAAACAATAAAATCAGCTATTATTACTAAGTAAATATAAAAGTATATACCATATATACCTACCTAGCAACAGAATACATAAAGAGAAAATCATTATCTGGTGATCCTGGAGTCTTGCTATAATCTCTGTATTTCTTCTGAGTGGTATTTTTTATATCTTTCATTACAGATTCCATTTCTTTACTTAAGTTGGTTTCTGACTGTAAAAAAAAAACACATACATAAAAAGTTTATGTATGTTCATTTTCTCTAATAGTCTAACACTACAGTGTTTATCATTTAAGCACACTATGAAATTAAGGTTTAAAAATAAAAACAGATATACATTAGCTATCAGCTAAAAATATATTTAGTATACCAAAATAAAACAGATCAAGAAATATTTTCTCTTATCTTAGAGACGTTTTATCCTAATTTTATATTGTTATCCAACCACAGAACAGAAAGCAAAGAACTAAAGAGTCTCTTGATGAAACTGAAAGAGGAAAGTGAAAAAGTTGGCTTAAAGCTCAACATCCAGAAAACTAAGATCATGGCATCCGGTCCCATCACTTCATGGCAAATAGACGGGGAAACAGTGGAAACAGTGACTGACTTTATTTTTTTGGGCTCCAAAATCACTGCAGATGGTGACTGCAGCCATGAAATTAAAAGATGCTTACTCCTTGAGAGAAAAGTTATGACCAACCTAGACAGCTTATTAAAAAGCAGAGACATTACTTTGCCAACAAAAGTCCATCTAGTCAAACCTATGGTTTTTCCAGTAGTCATGTATGGATATGAGAGTTGGACTATAAAAAAAGCCGAGTGCTGAAGAATTGATGCTTTTGAACTGTGGTGTTGGAGAAGACTCTTGAGAGTCCCTTGAACTGCAAGGAGATTCAACCAGCACATCCTAAAGAAAATCAGTCCTGAATATTCATTGGAAGGACTGATGCTGAAACTCCAGTATTTTGGCCACCTACTGTGAAGAACTGACTCATTTGAAAAGATCCTGATGCTGGGAAAGATTGAAGGTGGGAGAAGGGGACAACAGAGGATGAGATGGTTGGATGGCATCACCGACTCAATGGACATGAGTTTGAGTAAGCTCTGGGAGTTGGTAAAGGATAGGAGGCCTCGAGTGCTGCAGTCCATGAGGTTGCAAAGAGTCAGACACAACTGAGTGACTGAACTGAATCGAACCATAGAACAGTTTCCATGCTTATAAAAAAATCTTTCATTTAAGCACATTTTTTTTCAGGACTAACACTAATGTCCCTTACTTTAAGCATATTTTAAACACATAAAAATTTGGATTTGCAAAAGAAAAAAGAAAAAACCACACAGACACAAATCTTAAGTCTTCAATTGAGAAAAGGAGATGGATCTTTCTGAGTAGCTTTGAAATATGAATTTGTTTAAAAAGTCAGATATTCATAGGTTTCACAAATTTACTGTACATAGCTCTCACTTCTCTCAGGTATCACAACATAGATCTGTGATAAAAGTGAAATATTTGATCAAAAAAATAAATCCTGTTGGAAGAGATAAAAAATGGGTTCACTCATACCAAATTTCAAAGTGAAACAGACTGACTTATGGGAGATGCTTCGATCATATACACAATATTTGACCTCTCTAATACACAAGTGTGTGTGTAAATCTATACTTACACATGAAGTGTGTGTGTGTGTGTGTATAAATATATCACCTTAATTCTAATATACCTAAAGGGCTTATTTTTAAAAGATTAGATTGTGCTTTACATTGCAAGACATACATAAAGTTTAACTTCATTTTTAAATATTTCAACATAACCATATATAAGCTTATAGAATTTCATGGTCTGGAAGGCATATACTAAAATTATAACTAAACTGATATTAAGGAAAAGTATAGCCTTTAGCAATAATTTGTTCTATTGCTCTCATTTTTGTTTTTAATAACCACCAACGGAAAAGAAAAACCTCTAAAAGCAATTTCTACTAAATGTATAAAGGTCCAAAGTAACTTAGAAACGGAACAGAAATTAAAGCTGAAAAGCAGAGCTAAGTTAAGCAGGATATTTCTGCCTTACACTGATGCTTACTGGGAAAGCTCCCGGACGTCCTTGCAGCTCCTCCACTTCCTTTATGAGATCTTGTATGCTTTTGTTACTAGGACGCTGCCAAAGGTTGTTTTCAACATTGCTTCCAGGATAACAAGGAAGAACACTGTTAGCAAACTGCCTACAGAGAGGACATGTGAATTCTCCTTTGTCCACTGAGAAGCCCTGAAGAACCTGGTCATTCTAAAAGATGAAACAAACATACAGTTATATGATGCATACTTTTACGGAAAACAAAATTAACATCTCTACATTTTAGAGTAAATAAATAAACCATACAAAAAAGATCTCTACTGCATGTCATAAAAACTAAGTCACTTAACTCTTGAGCTTATCAAATCACTTCTTAAAATCACAGCAATCATGCAACACTTGCCATCACCAATGAACTGCTTAAGTATCTTACTTTTCTCTCAGGAGGAAACATTCAAATAATGATGCAATCAATGTGAAATGTGAATTTAAGATAAAGAATAACTCAAAAGCAGGTCACATTAAAGTGAATCACCTTCCACTCACACCATGTCCTGTCTTCATCATCTATAAGTGACTATTAGAAAGATTATCCCAGTGCTCAAGTCACTGGAGGCAGAACAGACAAGCTTTTGAGAGTATTTAAGTCTAAAAATACCAGGCTGGATGAAGCACAAGCTGGAATCAAGACTGCCAGGAGAAATATCAATAACCTCAGACATGCAGATGACACCACCCTAATGGCAGAAAGTGAAGAATTAAAAAGCCTCTCGACGAAAGTGAAAGAGGAGAGTGAAAAAGTTGGTTTAAAGCTTAACATTTAGAAAACTAAGATCATGGCATCTGGTCACATCACTTCATAGCAAATAGATGGGGAAACAATGGAAACAGTGACAAGACTTTATTTTTTGGACTCCAAAATCACTGCAGATGGTGACTGCAGCCATGAAATTAAAAGATGCCTGCTCCTTGGAAGAAAAGCTATGACCAACCTAGACAGCATATTAAAAAGCAGAGATATTACTCTGCCATCTAGTCAAACCTATTGTTTTCCCAGTAGTCATGTATGGAAGTGAAAGTTGGACCATAAGGAAGACTGAGTGCCGAAGAATTGATGCTTCTGAACTGTGGTGTTGAAGAAGACTCTTGAGAGTCCCTTGAACTGCAAGGAGATTCAACCAGCACATCCTAAAGGAAATCAGTCCTGAATATTCATTGGAAGGACTGATGCTGAAGCTGAAGCTGAAGCTCCAATACTTAGGCCACCTGATGCAAAGAACTGACTCATTTGAAAAAACCCTGAAGCTGGGAAAGACTGAAGGCGGGAGGAGAAAGGGACGACAGAGGGTGAGATGGTTGGATGGCATCACCGACTTGATAGACATGAGCTTGAGCAGGCTTCAGGAGTTGGTGACGGACAGGGAAGCCAGGTGTGCTGCATTCCACGGGGTTTCAAAGAGTCGGATCCGACTGAGCGACTGAACTGACTGAAATCTAAAAAAAAAAATGTGATATATCTTCTAATGTGTCTAACAGACTGGACCTGATGCATTAGGTTTATTTAGGTTTAACAGGTAGGAAAAAGATTTAGTTAGAATACTCAGAAAAGTGATAAGGAGGGGAATTAATTCAGCATCCCTTCAGATGTTTCTGATAGGAGGGGGAAGAAAAACTAGTTGAAACAAGGATACACAATGCAAATATGTCCAGGAGGAAACTCTTGCTCATGAGAGATTACAACATATGCTAGCCAACCAGAATTGAAGGAAGTAATCGAGGCTGCTACATTTGTTCCCTTCTCTTGCCTGATACCACCCTCATCTGTTCTGTTCTTTTAGGCCATTGCTATCGTGTAGTTCTAACCACAATCTTACTCTTTTTCCCAGTACTCTCTCTTGTTTTGCCACTAACCTAATGATTTAATCTCAAAATGTTTTTAATGTACTAAAAAAAATACATGAATGCTAAAATGTAAACATTATTACTAACAAGACAAAAATAATGAGAAAAATGGACACAAAAAAGAAAAAAATAAATTTATTTGCCCACGGTTACAAAGATATTTGGGCTTCCCTGGTAGCTCAGCTGGTAAAAGAATCCGCCCGCAATGCAGGAAATCCCAGTTTGATTCCTGGGTTGGGAAGAACACCTGGAGAAGGGATAGGCTACCCACTCTAGTATTCTGGCCTGGAGAATCCGCGACTGTATAGTCTATGAGGTCGCAATGAGTTGGACACGACTGAAAGACTTCCACAAAGATAGTTAATGACAATGTCCAAATGAACTTAGGTTTCCCAACTCTTTAACTTATTATTCATTTCACTGTATCTTGGATCTCAAATACTTTGGCCAAAGAACTGAATTCCACCTTTTTTACTTTGTGACATTCATTTCCTCAAGACCTTAAAAATCTAACACCATGTCTTCTTAAATCCAATTCTAGAAACACACACTAAACTCCTATCATGTGTCAAATGCTGTACCATGTCACTGCAAAGAGTTAAGAGATATCTTCATTTAAGCTACTGACAATTTAAAAGCAAATAGAAACAACAGTGTGATAAATCAAACAAACAAGACTTCCCAGAGGAGAAGACTTGTGAAATAAGTTTTAAAGATATACAAGAAGAGTTACTAAAAGGCTTGGAACAAGAGTACTAGTAATTGAAGGACATTCTTTGATAAGCTTCTCTGTAGCTATAATTTTTAAAACTGCTAGGTCTTCATCCTAGTCTCGAGTGAAACTAGGTTCCTTCCTAAAGCACCCCCAGAAGCCCTCTCAAAAAGGCACTGCTCATTTTCTCACATCCCTCAAACATCAGTATCCTTCTCACCTCCAGTACAGACTCAAGTTCCATATTCCTGGATTCCCTGTGTGGCTCAGGTCATTTAAAGGGATCACCCCTTTTCCTTCCTTTCTACTGTCATTCACTGCCCTTAATATGCGAAGACTTCAGTAACTAGACTCGTGTTCTCCATTACTCCAACTCTGGCCATCCTCTTACACAATTTCAGTGTGCCTGCAGACAGCCAGTCTCACACAGTTACACGGCCTCATCAGCGACCTGATGTCAGCAACTCCAGTAGCTTTGAACTCTACTCTCTCCTAGCACCTGTTATCATGACACACCCTTGTCTTGTAAGGACAGAGAACTGTCCATATGAGAAAATATTAAATTCAAACACCTCACATTTTGACTGTCAACTCCTATCTCTTCTAGTCCCTCCCTTTTCCCTCAGTTTATATGGCCTTTCCTATCCTACCACACACCATGATCTATCATTTTAAAAATTCTCAAGTTAGGAAGAAACAGACTCTGATGAGGGGAAAGGCATCCTGGGATTTAGGCAGAGTCTGGGATAGAGGAGGCAAAGGTTTGGAACAGTTGCTAAGGAGACTAGGAGAGGGAACTGATCAAAGACAGGCAAATGAATTGATAAGTAATATCCACAGTCCATGACCCCAATTTAGCCTCTATTTTAAGAAATCACAGATGTGTACTAGTCTGCTTAGTTTTACAATTTTTCTAACAGTGCCAGCTTCCTGGATATGAAGTCAAAGGAGGTGGATTAAATGACTAGTATTAAGAGCACAATGCAAATAGTACAAGAAAATGAGGTGAGGAAAGTGCTAGTGTACTAGGCAAATGCGAGGGGCAAAAAGAATAGATGCTTTCAAACTGTGGTACTGGAGAAGACTCTTGCGAGTCCCTTGGACTGCAAAGAGATCAAACCAACTCAATCCTAAAGCAAGTCAACTCTGAATATTCACTGGAAGGACTGATGCTGAAGCTGAAGCTCCAGTATTTTGGCCACCTGATGTGAGGAGACCCCCTCACTGGAAAAGACCCTGATGCTGGGAAAGACTGAAAGTATAAGGAGAAGAGAGCAGCAGAGGATGAGGTGGTTAAATAGTATCACCAACTCAGTGGACATGAATCTGAGCAAACTCCGGGAGATGGTGAAGGACAGGGAAGGAGGGAAGGACAAACTCCGGGAGACAGTGAAGGACAGGGAAGGACTGGGCAGGCTGCAGTCCATGGGGTCGCAAAGAGTTGGACCCAGCTTAGCAGCTGAACAACAAAGGACTAGAGCTGTTGAGGTCAGAAGCAAAACACACTAATAAGAGTAAAGATAGAGACTTTGACAAGTGCTCTACCATAATGGTATGGTATGATATTAAAGCTTACTACTCTAGAGCTAAAGTAGCAAAATCTAAAATTACAGTCATGGAAGTCAGTTGCCAATGTGAAGTAAAAAAATGAAATCCCTAAAGTTGAAGAGGTCAAGGAACTGTGAAGCTGAATAGTTCAAATGGCAATCATAATCACCCAAGATGAATTAGGATGTATTAGCTGTAAAAAATACTTAATACCTTGAAAGACACAAACAACTTTATTTAACATGTTTCAATCAACTTACCCGTAATGATTCCATGTAAGATTTATGGCAATCGATATGTAATGTGTGGCCACAGGTTTGTACATAAACACCTCCTTCCCAGCCAATTGATACTGCCAAGAGACAAGAACTCTTAAAAAAAAAAAAAGGAACAAAATATAATTAATTTTAAAGAAGCAGAAACATACCTAAACAAATCTACATAAACCTCTCAATCATATTGTTATACTACTGTGGGCTTTGTATTTCTGTGATATAAAGGAACACCTGACTTGACAATCCTGAGGCAATATCTTTAAATCTGGAAGATAGTTTTAGCTTCCAAATAATTATACTTGTAATACAAGAGAAAAATTGTGAATTAGCCTTTCTATACCTCATAAAATATAATAAAGTATACTGTTACTGATTATTGTACCTGTTCTACATGGTACTGGATTTCTCTGTGACATCTAACCTTAACATCTGCCTTCTTCAAATGCCTACTTCCCTCTTGTTTCCTTAATGCCACTCTCTTTTGGTTTCTCTCCTGTCTCTTTAACCATTTGGTTTAAGCCTCCTTTTAAGACTTTTTTTTCCTTCATCTGCCCCTTCAATATTTAAATTCCTCAAGGTTCAATCCTTAATGCTTTTCTCTTATTAAAACTATTCTGAGTGAACTTAATCAGTATATTCAACTATCCCCCAAGTTGGGTCTCTTGCCTGCATGCCAGATACAAGTACTCAGTTGGCAACCAGAAATCTTCAATTTGAGGTCCCTCAGATAAAATAAAACCAATGTGTCAAAAATGTTCATTTTCTCTATGAATCTTTCTCTTCCTCTTGGCTTAAAAACTCTACATCTGTTTAGCCACCAAATCAGAAAGCTAAAAGTTATTCACATCACACCCTTTTCTTCACACCACAGAATTAGTTCCCAAACTATATGAAATCTATCTCCTATATAATTCATGATTTTGGCCTCTCTGTCTTTATTCCCCCTGTAACAGTCAAGCCTGTGTGACCCGCTGTGGGGGAAAGAGTTCTTAAATAAATTTTCTTAAGTGGTCTCTATGATGCATCCTGCACACATCTTTCTAAAGTACAAATCTGCTCATGAGAATTAAAAAAGTGCCTAAACATTTATATGGGTCTTATATAACAAACAATACAAAAAGGAACCCAGATTATATAAGCAAACCACATACTCTTTGGAAATGCGTTTTAAAAGTTAATTGTTTTCATCTTCTCTTTCTCTTTAAATTTCTTCTCTGTTAATTCCTTCCCTTTAACCTAATAAACAGTCTAGACTTTTCCTCCTAAAAATAAGTTTCTTTAAATTTTTATTTGGCCTCTGCCAAACAGCATTTCGGCCTGACCTTGAGTTTACCCTCTAGTGAAAGTGAAAGTCATTCAGTCGTGTCCAACTCTGCGACCCCATGGACTGTAGGCTGCCAGGCTCCTCTGTCCATGGAATTCTCCAGGCCAGAATACTAGAGTGGGTAGCCATTCCCTTTTCCAGGGGATTTTCCTGACCCAAGGATTGCAGGTTGATTTTTTACCATCTGAGCCACCAGGGAAGCCCTCTAGAGTCTATAGCAAATAGATGGCCAAGTCAGGGCAACATGAGGTACGAGGTCTAACATGAGTGACAGCACACAATGAAAAATTTGAGAGCCATCAAAACAGAGCAAACTATTAAATTTTACTTTTATGTTGGAAAATAGCCTATTAGATGATCAAACCATCTTTAAATAACAGTAAACAAAATTCTAATATTAAATCAAGACTCTTCGTGAGCATCTGAAAGTTAAAGGCATTACACAGTATAAAATGCCTTTCTAGCTGATTCAAAGATGTGCAACAGCACAAATCAAATTCTCACAGCAGGTGAGCTGGTTTCTACTGTTACACATCAGAAAAACAACAGGAGACCTGCTCATCTCTGTTTTATGTTTTGGAGCCACTTTAAGTAGAAGCAGATGTGGGTATTAGATCATTTTAGAATGATTGGTAGGCAGCTAATAAACAAGCTATTCTCTTTGACAATGTACTATAAAATGTAATTAATCTTTCCTTTTAATACATAAGCTGTTTTAAAAATGAAAATAGTATGTTATTTGTCTATGTAACTGTTAGATGTCTTTTTTTAATTTGCTAGAGTCAAAAAAAGCAAGAGATCATTTACTAATATGAGACCTACATTTCAGAAAGACCTACATTCAACAATGTGCCCATTTCTGTACTATTTAACACTGAACCTTCACCTCAATATTTATTAAAACTTTATGCAGTAAGTGGTCTTATTTCTTTTAATAAAAAGGGACAGAAAGCTGACCAAGAGCTCTCAGTTAAAAGTGGTAAAGCCCAAGTTCAATCCAGATCTGACTCCAAAGCTCAGGTTCCATCCTTCCCTATTTATATATGAGTGTCATAGCTCTCATATATAACACTTACAATTTCACTAGTAAACACACTATCTTGTATGACTGAAATTCTACAGGCCAACTTTATAAAAAGCATGCATTTGATATGAAGAGAGCAGAATTTATGCAATTTAATTCTATAATCAGTAACAGTGTCTACTGATAACAACTCTTCTGCTCTACGTGGTCTGGGTACAAAACTGAAATCCAGTAAGCATCCACAATACCCAAGCACGTGTCAGATGCCCTGGAGAAGGGAATGGCAACCCACTCCAGCTATTCCTGCCTGGAGAATTCCACGGACAGAGGAGCTTGGCGGGCTACACAGTCCATGGGGTCACAAAGAGTTGGACACGACTGAGCAACTTCCACACCTTCACACCTGTTGTTGTTTAGTCACTAAATCACATGATTCTCTTGCAACCCCATGGACTGTAGCTCTCCAGGCTCCTCTGTCTATGGGATTTCCCAGGCAAGAATACTGGAGTGGGTTGCCATTTCATTCTCCACGGGATCTTTCTGACCCAGGGATCAAACCCACATCTCCTGAATTGACAGGATTCTTTATCACTGAACCACCTGGGAAGCCCTGAAGGGACTACAAAGCCAATAGAAAAAATAGCCCTAAACCTCCAGAGGTCCAGTGAGCGCACTATTTATAAGTAAAATAGCCATTATGAAGTACACAAAAGTACTTATGTAGAAATAAAACCTCACAGTAACTCACAAAAACAGAACAGATTCAGTCCAGTTCAAGTATCAGTTCAGAGCTTTCATTAAAAAAAAAGTTTTTTGTTTTTTTTTTCTTAGAAATGAATTGCTATTCTGACTGCAAGAAGAGATACGCTACTTTTTCTCTCCTTTATTAGATCTCTCCTTCCCTCAAATTATTATGTCCTTAGGTCTGAGTTGCATATTGACTGACTAAGTTATTTTTAGTTTCCATTTGGCCTTAGGATTCATCTTTACTCATTTACTCTAAAGTGATTCAAAATGCTGACATTAAAACCAGGATTACATCAGGAAAAAAAAAAAAACTAAATAAAGCTGGCAGTAAATTTCTGCAAAAGTAGAATTCAGCACAATTGTCTCCAAAATGAAGATATTAATTGGTCTCCAATTAGTAAAGCTATATACATATATACACATGCTGCAGAAAACCTGAAGAAACAATAAAGAAAGAGAGTGAAAGTGTGTCTGCGTATACACATATGCATGCATGTATATATACAAACATAAAGACTTATTTCCAAATAATGATTTCATTTTAAAGCCTCTGAAAATATATGGAAGCATTATCCTCATTACCTAACCCAAACTGCTTAATAAGGCCTAACAAGCCCTCCTAAAGAGGTAACTTGAAAATTAAAAATACCACTTTACATTTATACTGACCTTTATAACATGTAAAATGATCTTTTGGGTTACTGCATGAAAGACCATTATGAGCCCTATTTTACAGGTGAGGTAACTGAGACTTAGAGAGTTTGTCAAGCTCACATTGCTAAGAAATGGCAGAATCAGAAGGAAACCCCAGTTTTCCTCATCTGAAACTCTTTCTACTCTACACTATCTATCTAGAGTTACCTATCTAGAGCTACCTCACTATCTAGAGTTACCATCTCCTCCAGAATCCAAAGGAATCATCCTTAATCCAGACTACTGAACCACACTCTACTCTGATTCTTATCACATTAGATCAGTGTATATATTATATATTAGATCAGTATATATATTCTATATAAGTATTCTGTCTGCCATATATCCTACTAGCTGCTTCCATTTAAATTAGTACATTATGTACATTTAGAAATTATATTTAGAAATCTAATATACATTTATATATATGTGTATATATATAACTAAAAATAATGCATCATTTTATATTTTAAGCATTTTAAGTTATTAACAGATGTTACTTAACTCAAAATACATCAGAATCAAACAACAGGTGAAAGAAATCCCCATTTGATAACCCCTCAGGAAATTTAAAAAACAGTATCAAAATTTTACAAAGAAGTTAACAATGTTGCTGCTACTAAATAAACTGAGTTGATCTAAGTCTTATGAATACCTGAGAGCTAGAGCCACAAAGTACAAAGAGTCAGGGAAAAAAATCTACCAAGTTCACAATAAGAAATCATAGAAGCCATGATAAATCTGCCCCTACTTTACATATCAAAAGCATTATGAAACTTTATTATGTATCTTTAAATGAAAAAGACAGAAGCAAAAATCTTCATAAAATGTTAAGTGCCACATCTAAAAGTTTTTACAAAGTATATAAGATAATATATAAAAGTATATAAAATGATAATATAAACTTATCATTCCACTGAAATGAATTTGTATATCTTATAATAAATATTTAAATTTTTATGTGTTAACTGACTTCTATTTATTACCATCCACATACTAATTTTTTTCTAATAAACTTCCAAATTCCAAGTCAGAAAGATACTTGGTTGAAGAAAAATATAAAACTTTGGAGAGAAATATCCATCAATTTTATAGACAAAATACTATTTAATAAAAAGAATACTTACATCCTTAAAATAACGTTGTAATAATGAAAGTCTCACATCATGAACTGCTGCACATGTATCCCAGGGGTATATTTGCTCCTCTTCAGAGATAGGCAGCTTTTTTGGCTCAACGTTGTCACGGCACTGCCCCAAAACTATATTAACAACAGAGATAAGAGCCCATTAAAAAAACTAACATGTGGACTTTATTCACCAAGAAAAGTGAAGTTATTTACCATAAGCTTCTTAATTTTTTCACTATTACAATATTTTTAAAGACTTAAAAAAGTGATATCTTAATTTTCTTCTACAGAGTAAATAAACTTTTAATATGTGAATGTTTATTTTTTAAAATAACATCAGGGTTGGCGAGAAGGGCAAAGTGAGGCGAGAAGGGCAAAGTGAGCCTGGAATTGTGTGGAATAAAGAGCAAAGAGGTATTCAAGCTCTGAGTGGAGACCTAAAGGAATTCTGACTAGTCAAATTCAAGAATAATGACAATAACAGATAACACGTTCACTGATTCAGGCAGGGAACATGAAGTAAAAGGGTATAATGTTAGACTCTCAAAATATCATCCTACAGAAAACCAACCAAGTGATTAAACTTGGTTAACATCACCAATAATGGAACATCACTATGAGTCTCTTGATGTGATGCAATGGGAAGGAACGGCATCATAATACTACCATTGCCAAAAATGTTTAACTTTAATAACAGGGAAAGCAAAAGTGAAAGTCACTCTGACTTTCATGAAAAAAGTCAGTCATGTCTGACTCTTTGCAACCCCATGGACTATAATGTCCATGGAATTCTCCAGGCCAGAGTACTGGAGTGGATGATAGCTGTTCCCTTCTCCAGGGGATCTTCCCAACCCAAGGATTGAACCCAGGTCTCCCACACTGTAGGCAGATTCTTTACCATTCAAGCCACCAGGGAAGCCCAATAACAGGAAAACAATCACATAAATCCAGAAAATAGACAGTCTATATATAGAACAGACTTGAACTTTTCAAAAATTTTTTTAATGCCTGGAGAAGCTGTTTTGGATTAAAGGAGATTAACAAGAAATGACAACTAACTGCAACGCATGATCTTTACTTGGCTCTTGGAACAAGAAAAATATATATCTGGTATATAAAATATTATTGGGAGACTCTGAACACAGAAGATTTTATTTAATTCATATTAAATTTATTCAGTATAATTGGTACCAAGATTGTATAAAAGAGTATCTTTATTCTTAGGTGATACATGCTAAAGTATTTAGGAATAAAAACGTCCAAGATGTCTACCTATGACAAGTGTGTATGCGTCTGTGTATAGATAAGTATGGGAAAGAAAACATAAATATGGAAATATGCTAGCAATCACTGAGTATAGGTGAAGGGTTTTCAACTTTTCTGTAGATGTAAAAGTTGGTTGAAATGAAAAGTTGGGAAAAGAGGTATTTTTATCATTGTAAAACACATACCACACAAAAAGGAAGTGGGGGTATAAGCATACAGTGCCATACACTACTCTAAGACTCAATAAGTCATTCTCAGAGAAGGGAAGTCAGGCACAGAGCTGTGAGCCCCAAGTTCTGGGGAGATTTATAAAAGCAGCAGCAGCAGAAAGAATAGACAAAAGCAAGTAGATGCTAGAAACTAAAATATAATTAGCCATGATGTATAATCCTCTTAATAAACTGCCGAACTTGGTTAGCTAGGATTTTGTTAAGGGCTTTTACATCTCTATTCATAAGTGATACTTGTCTATCATTTTCTTTTCTTTTGATGTCCTTATCTGGCTTTGGTATCAACATAGTGCTGACCTCAGAGAATGAGTTAAGAAGTGTTCCCTTCTCTCTTTTCATTTTTTTTTCCCTTTTGGACAAATCTAAGGAGGAACAGTCTTAATTCTTTAAATGGCAGAAGACCAAAATAGATATTTATTCAAAGACATGCAAATGGCCAACAGGCACATGAAAAGATGCTCAAGATCCCTAACTATTAGAGAAATGCAAATCAAAACTGCAGTGAGGTACCATCTCAAACCAGTCAGAATGGCCATCATTAAAAAGTCTACAAACAACAAATGCTGGAAAGGGTGTGGAGAAAAAGGAACTCTCCTACAAGGTTGGTGGTATAGTGCTATATATAGTTACTGGTATACTGCTATATATAGTATAGTTATACTGCTATAATCACTGTGGAAAACATTATGAAGGTCCTCAGAAAACTAAAAGTGGAATTACAATATGATCCAGCAATCCCATTTCTGGGCATATATCCAGACAAAATTATAATTCAAAAAGATACATGCACCCCTATGTTCATAGTAGCAGTATTCACAATAGCCAAGATGTAGGAGCAACCTACATGTTCATCGACAAATGAATGGATAATAAGATGTGGTACATATGTACAAAGGAATACTACTCAGTCATAAAAAAGAACAAAATAATGCCATTTACAGCAACATGGATGCAATCAGAGATTATTATACTAAGTAAAGCACGTCAGAAAGACAAAGAAAAATACCATATGATATTACTTACATGTGGAATCGAAAATATGACACAAATGAACCTATCTATGAAAGAGAAACAGAACAGACTGGTGGCTGCCAAGGGAGAGAGAGTTGAAGGAGGGTTGCAGTGGGAGGCTGGGGTTAGCAGATACGAGCTTTTATACATAGAATGGATAAACAACAAGGTCCTACTGTATTAGTACAAAGAACTATATATTTAATATCCCATGATAAATTGTAACAGAAAGAATATTTTTAAAAAAGAATGTGTGTGTGTGTATAACTGAACCATTTTGCTGTACAGCTGAAATTAACATAACACTGTAAATCAACCATCCTTCAATTACAGACACTAATCAAAAAATGTTCAATGACCCAATTTCTTCAAATAGCAAAGTGCATTTGGGGTAGGGGCGATGATAGGCACAGGAAAAGATAAGAAGGGATTCTATTAATTAAAAGACTATAAGGAGTCTCTACAACTATAAATAAATAAAATAAAATAAATAAGAAACAGTTGGAGAATTCTGAACTGACTAGATATTTGATGATATTGAACTAAGTTACTCAGGAGTGATTGTGGTTTTAAAAAATAAGTCTTTAAAAAAATAAGTCTTTTCTATTCAGCAGATATGGTGAAATATTTATAAATGAAATAAAATGATGTCTGGAATCTGCTTCCAAATAATTCTAGGAGGAAATATTAGTCACAAGTTAATCACTGTTAGAGATTGATGGGGACATTAGAAATTGATGGGGACATGGAGGTACATTTTACTAGTCTCTTTACATCACCACATAGTTAAAATTTTCCATATTCAAAGATAAAAGAAAAAGAGAAGAGACAAATCAAAATAAATAAAGAATTCAGAAGTAAGGAAAAAGTAAAGAGGGGTAAAAGGTGAGAGGATGTCAGAGGGAAAGGAAACAGCCAGAGATTTTCCCTGTTACAATTCCCAGTTAAAATAACTCTTGAGATTTAATAGCTTTTAATGCTAGTTTCTTATATTTTCCCTCATATCTTGAAATGACAAAAGAGCTGTGGAACAGTAGAATTATCTAATATTAACTAGTTTAGTGTAAAAAATTGCTAAAAGGGAATTAAATGAAGTAACAAGTCAAAGCAACTTTAAAAATATAAAACAATGAACAAATAACAGTCCAAAATAATAACAGAAGCTTCACTGGGGCACAGATATTATTTTGTTTTGCTTCTTATTGTAATAGCAATGATCAATAAATACATGTGACATGAATGAATGAATAAAAGAAAACATTAAGTTGATGATTATACAGTATTCAGTGAAGAAGTTATAGAGGGACAAGTAAGTGGCAACAATCTAATAAACTGAATTCTTTAAAACAGTAGAAAAAGATAAACAGCTGTGAAATTAGTCAGTACTCCAACACATTTCCTTTTAATTATAGTAGGCATTTCTCATCTAGACGGTTCTATTGTCCTATTCAGTGAGGGTTTCAAAGATCAATTTCATATTTAAACAAGAGTAATAAGACAAAAAAACTAATCTACCAGGCATCACATTAGACCCTTTTTCCTATATTACATTACTTAACCAACATGACAATCCTCAAAAATCACTATTATCTCTGTATTTAAAAGAAAGCAATAAACTCAGCCAGATTAAGTCAAGCAGTAGATGTTTTTCTGGAACTCTCTTGCTTTTTTGATGATCCAGCGGATGTTGGCAATTTGATCTCTGGTTCCTCTACCTTTTCTAAAACCAGCTTGAACATATGGAAGTTCACAGTTCATGTATTGCTGAAGCCTGGTTTGGAGAATTTTGAGCACTATTTTGCTAGCATGTGAGACGAGTGCAATTGTGCGGTAGTTTGAGCATTCTTTGGCATTGCCTTTCTTTGGGACTGGAATGAAAACTGACCTTTTCCAGTCCTGTGGCCACTGCTATGGAACTCTGCATTCAAATGGGTATATCTTTCCTTTTCTCCTTTGCTTTTGGCTTCTCTTCTTTTCACAGCTATTTGTAAGGCCTCCTCAGACAGTCATTTGGCTTTTTTGCCTTTCTTTTTCTTGGGGATGGTCTTGATCCCTGTCTCCTGTACAATGTCACGAACCTCTGTCCACCGTTCATCAGGCACTCTGTCTATCACATCTAGTCCCTTAGATCTATTTCTCACTTCCGCTGTATAATTGTAAGGAATTTGATTTAGGTCATACCTGAATGGTCTAGAAAAACATCTATTTCTGCTTTATTGACTATGCCAAAGACTTTGACTGTTTGGATTACAACAAACTGTGGAAAATTCTGAAAAAGATGGGAATACCAGACTACTTGACCTGCCTCTTGAGAAATCTGTATGCAGATCAGGAAGCAACAGCTAGAACTGGACATGGAACAACAGACTGGTTCCAAATAGGAAAAGGAGTACATCAAGGCTATATACTGTCACCCTGCTTATTTAACTTATATGCAGAGTACATCATGAGAAATGCTGGGCTGGATGAAGCACAAGCTGGGATCAAGATTGCCAGGAGAAATATCAATAACCTCAGATATGCAGATGACACCACCCTTATGGTAGAAAGTGAAGAAGAACTAAAAAGCCTCTTGATACAAGTAAAAGAGGAGAGTGAAAAAGTTGGCTTAAAGCTCAACATTCAGAAAACAAAGATCATGGTATCCGGTCTCATCACTTCATGGCCAATAGATGGGGAAACAGTGACAGACTTTATTTTTTTGGGCTCCAAAATCACTGCGATGGTGACTGCAGCCATGAAATTAAAAGACGTTTACCCCTTGGAAGGAAAGTTATGACTAACCGAGACAGCTTATTAAAAAGCAGAGACATTACTTTGCTAACAAAAGGTCCATCTAGTCAAACCTATGGTTTTTCCAGTAGTCAAGTATGGATGTGAGAGTTGGACTATAAAAATATACAAGCAACTCCTCCAGCTCAACTCAAGAAAAACAAATGACCCAATCAAAAAATGGGCCAAAGAACTCAACAGACATTTCTCCAAGGAAGACATACAGATGGCTAACAAACACATGAAAAGATGCTCAACATCACTCATTATCAGAGAAATGCAAATCAAAACCACAATGAGGTACCATTATACGCCAGTCAGGATGGCTGCTATCCAAAAGTCTACAAGCAATAAATGCTGGAGAGGGTGTGGAGAAAAGGGAACCCTCTTACACTGTTGGTGGGAATGCAAATTAGTACAGCCACTATGGAAAACAGTGTGGAGATTTCTTAAAAAGCTGGAAATAGAACTGCCATATGACCCAGCAATCCCACTTCTGGGCATACACACCAAGGAAACCAGATCTGAAAGAGACACGTGCACCCCAATGTTCATCGCAGCACTGTTTATAATAGCCAGGACATGGAAGCAACCTAGATGCCCATCAGCAGACGAATGGATGAGGAAGCTGTGGTACATATACACCATGGAATATTACTCAGCCATTAAAAAGAATTCATTTGAATCAGTTCTAATGAGATGGATGAAACTGGAGCCCATTATACAGAGCGAAGTAAGCCAGAAAGATAAAGACCATTACAGTATACTAACACATATATATGGAATTTAGAAAGATGGTAACGATAACCCTATATGCAAAACAGAAAAAGAGACTCAGATGTATAGAACAGACTTGTGGACTCTGGGAGAAGGCGAGGGTGGGATGTTTCAAGAGAACAGCATTGAAACATGTATATTATCTAGGGTGAAACAGATCACCAGCCCAGGTTGGGTGCATGAGACAAGTGCTCGGGCCTGGTGCACTGGGAAGACCCAGAGGGATCGGGTGGAGAGGGAGGTGGGAGGGGGGACCGGGATGGGGAATACATGTAAATCCATGGCTAATTCATTTCAATGTATGACAAAAACCACTGCAATGATGTAAAGTAATTAGCCTCCAACTAATAAAAATAAATGGGAAAAAAAAAAAAAAAAGAAAACTGAGTGCCAAATAATTGATGCTTTTGAACTGTGGTATTGGAGAAGACTCTTGAGAGTCCCTTGGACTGCAAGGAGAGCCAACCAGTCCATTCTAAAGAAGATCAGTCCTGAGTGTTCATTGGAAGGACTGATGTTGAAGCTGAAACTCCAAGCCTTTGGCTACCTGATGCGAAGAGCTGACTCATTTGAAAAGACCCTGATGCTGTGAAAGGTTGAAGGCAGAGGATGAGATGGTTGGATGGCATCACCAACTCAATGGACATGCGTTTGGTAAACTCTGGCAGCTGGTGATGGACAGGGAGGCCTGGCATGCTGTGGTCCATGGGGTCGCAAAGAGTCGGACACGACTGAGTAATTGAACTGAATTGAAATGAACTGAAGCGAAGTTGCTCAGTTGTGTCTGACTCTTTGCAACTCCATGGACTGTAGCCTACCATGCTCCTCAGTCCATGGAATTTTCCAGGCAAGAGTACTGGAGTGGGTTGCCATTTTCTTCTCCAGGGGATCTTCCCGACCCAGGGATCGAACCCAGGTATTCCGCACTGCAGGCAGATGCTTTACCATCTAAGCCACCAGGGAAGTCCTGTATATGAAATCAGAGGAATTTCTTGTATCTAATTCTTCTACTCTACTAATTCAGAGTAAATACCCTAGGAAAAAAATGCCCTGGAGAAATATGTGTTTTATTTACTTTGCTTCACACATACTCTTATTGAAAAAGGATTACATTCATTGGAACTGGAGTGTAATATTTATCACTACTTCAAAATACTTCAGTATGGCAGAGAATAAAGAATATTCAGACAAATTCTTCAAATTTTTAAAAATGTTAACTCTAAGATTTGCAAACGTCAACTGGCAGGCTGTTACAAGAGTGACTGCTTCTACGTGCAAGAAACAAGGGCAAAGTAACCTGAATATGTCTTATATAATTAATATATTTAAACTATTTCTGGACTTAAATGTTTCTAGATATTAGAACAATCAAATTGCCTAGAAAGTCAAACTCAGTTTTTGGCCACCCAGCATTGGTAAGATTCCATCACACTCTAAAGAAAAAGACTATGTAACATACAGAGAGATCTCTCTTAAAGGCTTCTCTCAACACCAAGAAAGTGAGATAAAACCAGATTAAGAATCTTTCCAAAAAAAAAAAAAACTTAAAAAGATCCTTGCTATACAGATCTACAGTTTTGTCTAAACAAAAATATAGCTTTTATTTGAGAGATTTACTAATCTGTTGCAAACACTTCATCTCTAAAAATGTTCCCACTAAAAATTACTTTGATTTTTACCTGAGGATGCTTGTAACAGTACAACCAATCCTGTAGGTCTGTCTTCAGAGGAGGGCCCACTTTGTCCACAAATAACACAATCATATACTGCCTCAGAAACTTGAGGTTCTGCTGTGGTGATCTCCATAGGAATATCACTCTCTGGAGAATCTGAGGAGAAAAAGTTGCAACTCTTAATTACTGAAAAGAAAATCTCTCTTTAACAAAATTATGGGGAAAAAAATCAAGCTCAAATAATTTGGAACTTCAGTATCAATAGATTATATAGTAATAAAACTATGGGAAAATTATCTCACTAAAATAAAATGTTATCTCATAAAAGACAAAATTACAAAGAATGGATGCTATGAAAGACTTCTGATTTCTGGGTTGGGAAGATCCCCTTGAAGAGGAAATGGTAACTTACTCCAGTATTCTTGACTGGGAAACCCCATGGTGTGCTACAGTCCATGGGGTCACAAGGAGCTGGATGTGACTTAGCGACTAAAACAACAAGAATTCTTCTAATGTTGTATCATACATGAAATTAAAACTAAAAACACAGATGCAAAGGTATTTGTATCTAGAAATATTGTTTTAATATTATAATTTAAGGAAATAAGGGGGAGGTCATTTGCTTTAATTTTCTTTGAAGCACTTCAGAAGGAAAATTTATAATAACATGGCAGCTCTTGGGAAGAAATGGCAATATTTACTAGGAGATAAAAGGGTAAAAACTTTTTCTTTTTTCTTTTAATTGTAGTGATTATATCTTAGTGATAATAATTATCAATATGTACTTATGTAGGATAAACATTTCTATATGACCATATATATAATAAAGCAAAGTTATAATCGAAAATAAAATAACAGCAATCCTTTGGTGATATGTCATTAACAGCAAGAAATAAAATACTGAGTCAATAACCATTTCAGATAAAAATTCATAGAATCATCCATAGTGGCAAAAGAAAGGAATAGAGGGGACTGGGAAGATCAAAGAAGCAGAAATGATTTATGACATGTTTAAAAGATGGAGGCATATCTAAATAAATATATTAATAAAAGGACAGAAATAGAAAAAGAAAGATGTCAAGTTTATATGTGTTTTAATAAGATTTCATGCAGATAAACATACATCAGATATTTACTAAGACTGAGAGGAAAAGGGGTGAAACCTAAAATAGAACTTTGGATAATGCACAAAATTAACGGAAATTTTAAATAAGCCAATGAAGAGATCAAAAGCTTAAAGTGGTCTTGTATATTCTCCCTCAATATCTCTCCCTGAGTATCTCTCTGTCTCTCCTTCTCGATCATACCACTTATGTGAGAATGAGTCTGGGGTTACCTACTGGAGAAGGAGACAGCCCACCTGGAACAGAGCCCAGGTGTCCTACCAGCTCAGGCCAGTCCCAACTAACCAACTATCAGATCATTCTTGGAACATGCTTTGTTTTTGTGTTTATGGAGTTTTGTGGATGAAAGAAGAAAAGAGTGGGAAAATGATGTAGGGATGATATATTTAGTGCCCTCAGAACCATGGGAAATATGTTTTTGCTTGGAAACATTATGCCTATGCTGGGGAACAGACGACTGCAAAACACAAGTATCTGGAGAAAAGGGAAACCTCTTGTACTGTTGGTGAGAATGTAAACTGATACAGCCACTATGGAGAACAGTATGGAGATTCCTTAAAAAACTAAAAATAAAACTACTATATGCCCAACAATTCCACTACCGGGCATATACACTGAGAAAACCATAACTGAAAGAGATGCATGTACCCCAATGTTCCTTGTAGCTAGGACATGGAAACAATCTATGTTCATGTATAAAGAATTTGTAGTACATACATACAATGGAATATTACTCAGCCATAAAAAGACCACATTTGAGTAAGGCCTAATGAAGTGGATGAACCTAGAGCCTGTTGACAGAGTGAAGTAATCCAGAGAGAAAAAATAAATATCGTCCATTAACACATATATAGGGAATCTATTTGCAGGACAGCAACGGAGATGCAGACATAAGGAACAGACATGTGGACACAGCGGGGGAAGGAGAGGGTGGGATGAACTGAGAGCAGCATGGAAACATACACGTTACCATGTGTAAAACAGCTAGCCAGTGGGAATTTGCTGTATGACGCAGGGAACTCAAATCAGGTGCTCTGTGACAACACAGAGTGGGAGGATGAGATGGGAGGCAGGAGGGAGGTTCGAGAGGGCGGGGAACGTATGTATACCTACGGCTGATTCATGTTGATGTATAGTAGAGACCAACACAATATTGTAAAGCAATTATCTTCCAATTAAAAATAAACAACAACAACAAAAAAGTATCACAGGGCAAAGTGTGGTCTGAAGCCTAGGGGCAGGCACAGAGAATCTTCTTTACTGCATAAACTGATCCTTGGTTTTAAGAACATATAATACACTTTAATTTTTAACTACAACTGAGTATTTGCTTGGATCCTACTAGGTGAATTACTACTCATAAACTAAACACACTACTGGAACTTACTCTTTTCTGCTAAGAAGCCTGTAACAAATGCACAATTGCAAAACTCCTACTGTGCAATATCATTAATTCTGGTAAAGATGTACAGTACTGTCCTGACCTGGTCATCATTTTTACTACTAACATTCTTGCTTTCCTCTGCTTTTTTTTTTTTTAACTTGGTATAGAAAGGGACTTCTCATTCTTTTTAAAAAATATATTATTTAAATATAATTTTAGTTTTGCAGGAAAGTTTTGAAGTCACTACAAAGAGTTCTCATAAACCTCACACCCAGTTTCCACTTAAATCTTACGTTAGCATGATATGACTGTCACAATGAACTAATATTGATATATTACTGAGAAATTTTATTGATATAATACTGATATAAATTAACTAAAGTCCATATTTTCTTCAGATTTCCTTATTTCTACCTAATGTCCTTGGTTTTTTTTTGAGGATCCCATTCAAAACAGTATTACATTTAGTTGTCACGTCTCCTTAGGTTACTCTTAGCTGTGGCAGTTTCTCAAGAAACTGTTGTTTTTGATGACCTTAAAAGTTTTGAGGAGTACTCATCAGGTATTCTGTATAACAATCCTCAGCTGTAACTTGTCTGATACTTTTCTCAAGATTAGTCTGAGGTTATGGTTATAAGTGAGGAGGACCACTAAGGTAAAGTACCATTCTCATCAACATCATATCAATGGTATATAATATCAATATGATCAATTATTGCTTATATGGACACTGATCATCTCATCTGGGTAGCATTATGATCATTTCATAATGTATGCAAATACCAAATTACTAAGTAGTACACCTAAAACTGAGCTTCCCAGGTGGCTCAGTGGTAAAGAATCTGCCTGCCAATGCAGGAGACACAGAATATGTGGGTTCAATCTCTGGGACAGAAAGATCCCCTGGAGGAGGAAATGGCAACCCACTCCAGTATTCTTATCTGGAAAATCCCACGGACAAAGGAGGCTGGTGGGCTACAGTCCATAGGGTCACAAAGAGTTGGACATGACTAAGCGACTGAGCATGCACACACAAACACACATGTGAAACTAACACAATACTGAACCCCACCTATATTACAATTATTTTAAAAAGGAAACATGGACTTCCTTGGTGATCCAGTGGTTAAAACTCCTTGCTTCCAATGCAGGTGGCAGTTCAATCTGTGCTCAGGGAACTAAGATCCCACATGCCCTGCCTCTTGGAAAAAACAGAAGGGGAGGGAAAGCAAACTGCACAGCATTATATATAGTAAAGTTTTATTTCAGGAAAGACAAATAGAAACAAAATCCATTTATATAATTTTTATATGTATTCATATGAAACAACAAAGCCTATTTACAATGGTTTCTCCCGAAGGGTTGAGATTTAAAAGAGAAGGTAGGAAGAAATAATCAGCTTTACTTTTGTACAGTTTTGTATATGTTAAACATATATATTTTTAAATGTTTTTGCTTGATATCAGTGTGTGTCTTATTTATGGAACAAATAACCAAAACATAATTTATATTTGTAGGTTGTATTTTTTAATACACCACATCACTGATGACTGACTTAAAATGACAGATACAGCACTATCCCTCAAAAGTGAACAAATTTATGATCAGAACAACCAACATAGAAAAGTATTCTATCCATCAGACCTGCTTTCTAATTTAAGTGAAAAGAAATTCAATTAGTTTCTATTCAGTTGACAGAATAAGAATTTCACAAGGTGACACAGCAAAGTTTATAGTAATTTATAAAATAATAACATAGATGCAACAGCAATAGATACATAGGACTAGTGCACTATATGCATTCCAATGCCACAAGCAGATGGGTCTTACCTAAAAGAAGGCAAGTCTACAACTGTGCCTGATTCCAAGGAAATGTAAGAATATAAAAGAGGCTAGTTTATGATACAACCAAACTCTAAAGTAGCAGAAAAAAAAAAGCGTCAGGGAAAAATAAGCAGTTAAAGATGTAAAGAGCATCCATTTTCATAACAAGAGAAATGCTAATTAAAACTAGACCAGATACCATTTCTTTTCACCAACAAGATTAGCAAAAATACAAAAGTTTGACAACATATTCTAATGACAAGGATGTAGGTAACTTGCTGTTCTGACACACTGTTGATGCGAATACTAAATGGTACAACCCTTAAAAGGGTAATTTGCAATATGTAGCAAAATTACTTGTGTGTTTACCCTGACCCAGCAATCCCACATATAGAAACGAATCTTACATTCGTTTCTATAAATATATATATAATATATATATATATAAAGACACATGCCACAAAGATATTTACTGCAATACAACTTATATAGCAAAAGACTGGAAATTATCCAAATGTCCAATAATAGAAGACCATTTGAATAAACTATTGATGGGGGTGGGGTGGGGATCTACCATACAGGTAGAAAAAAGAATAAAGAATATCTCTATATGCTGCATGATGGGACCTCCAGGATGTAACGTTGAGGGAAGAAAGCAAGGAAGAAGAAGTGTATGTAGTATGTTATCATTTACCTAAGAAGGGGACACTAGGGATGTAAATATTTTTATATTTCAATATATATACTTATATCCCCAATCTTCTTTCTTATGTAAATTGTTAAAAAAAAAAAAAGAAAAGATAAACCTCAAATTAAACTGTGTT